ATAACAATAAAGTTTGAAGTAAAAATTTGCTTTACTTTTGCCTTTGTTATCTTTTTTTTTTTAAAAAAAATATAGGTGGGTTAACCCGCGGGTTGGCCCGCGGGTTGGCGGGCCAACCCACCGTGGGTTAGGGTTATGGCGGTGCGGGTTATGTTTTTTAAGGTAGTGGTGGGTTGGCTTTTGACTAACCCTAACCCGCCATTTTTGGCGGGTTGGCGGGTTGGACCCGCGGGTTCAACCCATATTACCGGCTCTAGTGATATATGGCGGGCAGTGGTTGAGACGCGGAGAAAATTTCTTCAATTTTTTAAAATAAAAAATGCAAAAACGAAAATAATAAAATATCTAAAAAATCATTTTGATTTTTTAATTTTTAAAAACATGTTATTATTTTGTTAAAACAACCTAGAAAACTTAACAAAAATTTTTTTAATAAAAAATTATTTTCAAAACAAGAAATCAAATAATGCATGAGCAATTGAAAAACGACATTTCAGCTTTCTTGTCTTGATTTTGAATTTTATAATTATTAATGAATATTAATTGTAATTTTCATGGTGCAATGAATCTAGCATTTGATTTGTCAACATCCGGAAGGTGTGTTACAGTTTTTTCTACATTTTCTTCACGCTCTCTCATACAACACTTGTAAGTTTTCTCTTTTCAAAAAATAAAAATCCCCTTATCATAGAATACAAAGCATGATACGAAATTGCACCGAATATTCAAGATCCAAAATCCATAACCAATATTATTATACTACTTCTGATACTTAACATAACAATTAATTGACTAGTTTGAGTAAATAAATAAAGTTGTTAGGTTAGTTATTTGTAATAATTATGTTTTTTAAAATACTCTAGTTAATCATATATATTAGTTAAAACTATCATTTGATAGGATCTTTAGTATATATAAATACAACTACTATAAGGACTATTTTAAAATAAATAAATAAATATGATAGAAAAAATGGTTCGGAGTTTTATATCCAGGATGACACTAAAAGGGTTGAAAGTAGTGTTAATTTCTCAGCCAAGTCCATCGCTTCTACAAACGATTTTTCTTTGACGTTTAATTTGCGGATAACCTAATTTCTCGCTCGGCACAAGTTGGACTTCTCAACATTGCCGACAATGTTTGTGGTGTGTGTGTCACCAAAAAAACAAATGTTTGTGGTGTGTGTATCATTATATATGCTCTATAAAACCTCATCCACTTGTTGCCTAATCCCTATAACCCGAGCTCCAGATTCAGCATTGAGAGAGAGAGAGAGTTTGAAATACAACAATGGATTCTATTGCAGGAAGAGGATCAAAACCACATGCTGTGTTGACTCCAGGTCCGGTTCAAGGCCACATCATCTCAGTGTTGAAACTAGCGAAGCTTCTTCATCTTCGAGGCTTTTTCATAACCTTCGTCAACACTGAGTTCAACCAAAAACGCTTACTTAGATCAAGAGGTGTCAAAATCCTGGATGGACTCTCAGATTTTCAATTTGAAACCATCCCAGATGGTCTTCCTCCTCCTGCAAATGATAACGCCACTCAGGACATAGCTTCTCTCTGTGATTCTGTGAGAAAGAACTTCCTCCTTCCCTTCCAGAACCTTCTTACTAAACTCCATCGCTCAGCCTCTAATGGCTTCATCCCCCCAGTCACTTGCTTGGTTTCTGATGCCGCCATGGTCTTCACTGTTGAAGCTGCTCAGGCTCTTCAACTCCCCATCATTCTCTATTGGCCTGCTAGTACTTATTCATACCTGGCCCTCGCTCACTTTCCAAAGCTAGCTGAAAGAGGCCTTATACCTCTTAAAGGTATTATTGTACTCTTACACTGCTATATCAGATTAACTATTCTTCATGTCGTAGCGTTTAGTTCAATGCTCTGTATGCTTCATAATTCAAGGGATATGATAATTTTTTTTTTCATGTGAATGTGCAGATGAGAGCTATCTGACAAATGGGTACCTGGAGAAAGAAATAGATTGGATTCCGGGCATGAGAAATATCAAGCTGAAGGATCTGCCTTCCTTTGTGAGAACAACAGACCCAAATGACTTAATCTTGGACTTTTTCAATGAAGTGACGGAAAAAGCTCACAAAGCCCATGCCATTTGTTTCAACACATTTGATGAGCTTGAAGGTGAGGCAGTGAAAGCTCTTTCCTCCATTTACCAACCTCCTCTTTACTCAATAGGCCCACTCCCTTCGTTTTTGAACCAAACACCGCATAATAACAACCGATTGGCGTCTCTAAATTTTAGTCTCTGGAAAGAAGAGACTCAATGCATTGATTGGCTACAACACAAAGAACCTAGATCTGTGATTTACGTGAATTTTGGAAGCATCACAGTTATGTCCCCAGAACAACTCTATGAGTTTGCTTGGGGTTTAGCCAATAGCAAGAAACCCTTCTTGTGGATCATAAGACCTGACCTTGTGAATGGTGGCTCAGTGATTCTATCTTCTGAGTTTTTGAGTGAGACTAAAGAAAGAGGCTTCATAGCAAACTGGTGTGAACAAGAAAAAGTGTTGAACCATTCATCCATTGGAGGCTTCTTGACACATTGTGGGTGGAACTCTATGACTGAGAGTATTTGTGCAGGAGTTCCTATGGCGTGTTGGCCTTTCTTTGCAGATCAACAAACGAACTGTAGATATGCGTGCAAAGAGTGGGGAATAGGGATTGAGATTGACAATAACGTGAAGAGAGAAGAAGTGGAGAAGCTTGTGAACGAGTTGATGGAAGGAGAGAAGGGGAAGAAGATGAGACAAAAATGTTTAGAGTGGAAGAAAACTGCAGAAGAGAACACACAACCTGGCGGTTCTTCATTCGTCAACTTGGAGAAAGTGATCAAGGATGTGCTGCTACAAGGAAATTAACTACAGTAACCCTATATATTTCCATTATAGTACACTAGCCAAGGGCGAACTTCTTTTACAACATATTTGGTTATGAAGTTTTTCTGTCAAAAAGCTAGAACTTTTTTTACATTTTTTTATAATATTTGGTTAGATTTTTACTGTTTCTTTACGGTATTAAAAAATATTGCGTACAAGTACTTCAACACTTATGATAGGATGGAAAAACGATCAGCCCTCTATAAATATACTAACGGGAGATTTAAATGAAGATCAGTATAACAACTCTTCATTATGTGAGAAGTTATAGCCTGTTCTGTTCTCTCTCTAGGGGTGCTTTCCACCTCGCTAAACCTTTGGGAGAAATTGAGAATTTACTAATAAAAAAGTTTAAATAGATTATCGCTCCCCACCTGTTTTTTTTTCTTCCCAATTTAGCCCCCGTTATCACTTATCAGCTCTTGGATTGGTCCTTGTTCCTGTTATGAGACCGGCTACGTAAAGAAAGTTAGTGGCTAACGGCCTAACATGTGATAAAATATAGTATGAAGCAATGAATATAGGTTTTTTACAAGAACCCTTGATATAAAATATTACTGAGCAATTAATTATGGGATACTTTTTGAAAAGATAGAATAAATTTTAGAATTTTAATTAATTTTATATCTGGGTGAATTAGTTAAAAAATAATGTCACCCCTCGATTTTAGTGATAAGATTAAATAAAATCATATTTTTATCCTCTAACTTTATATATAAGATTTTACTTTGATTTTTTAATTTCAACAAGTTTTTTTTTTTGGGTAAAGAAGGTTAGCGTAACATGTTATTTGCACTTCCTCTAATTCCTAATATAAGGAAATTTTTATTTTGAAATTTCTCTGTTTCAATATGTAAGGAATTTTACATATTTCAAGTGCAACTAAAAACATTTTCACCTGCACCTAAGAATATATTAAAATTAATCTGAACAATTTTTTTTTTTGGGGTAAAGAAGGTTAGTGAGTCAATGAATGGCTTGTGACAGCACATTGTCTGCAATAGAATTTAATGGCTGAGTTTAGTAGGTGATTCTGTTCATAAAGAAACAAAATGCAAAGCTGATATTGTTAAACGAAGAAATGATCATACGGGCATTGGTTAATTTTTCCCCCCTGATTCATATAGTCCTTTTTGGGATTGTTTTGGTCGGATTTCTACTTGTATTAATGTTCAATGTACTGTTGGTATTTTTGGAATGAAATTTTCTTGAAAAAAAAATAGAAGTACAACGGTGCATAAAATATTATACAGAGATTAATTATACCTAGAATTCGTTTGTATCTAGAAGAAATTTGAAATTTCCATTAAAAAAAAGAAATTTGAAATTATTAAGTTTCAAATCAAACTTAATAACATTTTAATAGTTTTTAACAAAACTAAATTTACAAATAAGAATACATTTTTATAAAATTTTCTTGCTTAGATTTTAATAATTTCATACTTTGTTTTTTTGTAGAATTCTGCCTTGTGACTCTGTTAGTTATGAAGAAGTAATTTTGATTATATGAAATAAATATTTGAGAAGAATTTTATTTAATAAAGTGCAACAATAATTATTTTAAATTGATTTTAAAAACTACTTATTATTGAAAATCATTCGGGATTTTTAACTTCTCTCAAAAAGGCCAACAAAAATGTGTTTTTAATAAATGAGAGAAAAGAAAAATAAATAATAAAAAAACTCCATCCAGTTTAAAATATAAGATAAACTTTGTTGAAAAGACTTATTTTTTTATAAGATAATATTTACTTTTATCTAAGTATTTAATGAGTTTTTTTTTTTTAACTTTACCCCTAACATATTATTTTTTTCTTTAATTCATTTATTACATGTTTTACTTATTATTTTTATTAATAAGAGTATATTTAAAAAAATACATACCTTACATATTTATTATTTTTAACTAATTTTTTAATAAACAGATAAAGTTTATTTTTTATTTTGAACTTAAAAAAGATAAAATAGTTTTTAAAACGCTGGGTAACTAAATTCATCCATAGGATAAAATAGTGATTGCCCTTGCTTACGAGAGTAGAAATAGCCAGGGAAGAGTAAAACAGTCAAGATTCCGGTGAGGCCGTAACTGTTTTCTTGCCTTCCTTGGTTCCCGAATTTGTGCTTGAGATTAGAGCAAATCCGTCATTTCATCTAGTCTTCCTGCGGCAACTGCAGACGCCGGAGGGTGATAATGGCCACAGTCGCCACCACCGCTACATCGTCAGCTCCGCCGCCACAAGCCCTAAAATTGGAGTCCCTTCCTCGAATAGACACCACCACCCTTTCCCAGTCTGAGCTCCATGCGCTCTCTCTCTGCTCACTCTCCGCCTTCGACCTCCGTTCTACCAGCAACCTCGTTTTCCCCAATGTCGACCGTTCACTCTTCAATGAGAGCGCCGGGTCTCGCCGCCAGACCTACTCCCGACCACGCAAACCCCTTTCCCCTTCCGACTCCCCCACCGGCCACCGTCGACGCGTCGCTGGTCTTCTTCCAACCCCAAAGCTCCCGCCTGTCCCCGATGACGACCCGGAAAACCTAGAGAAACGCAAGATTATAGATTATTTGAAGCAAATGATAAGGGAAGACCCTAAATTCGATCAAGTTGAGCTGGCCCCGCCTTCTGTTACCCACGAAGTTGTGCCGAATCCTGAGTTAAGGGTCGGGATGGTGGAGAGCGAGGATATGGGGCTCGTGAGGAAAAGGAAGAGGGGGAGGAAGCCCAAAGTGAAGGTGCATTTGAAGGAGTGCTATAGAGAGATGGATATTGTGAATAAGGGTGGTGTCGCGATTGATCTTTCTGCTTTGGCGAATACGGAGGATCCATTTTCTGAGGAGTTGAGGAGAAGGACTGAGGGGTTGCAGAGTGAAGAAGAGCTATTGGGGTTTTTGAGGGATTTAGGGGGACAATGGGGTAGTAGGAGGAAGAAGAGGAAGATTGTGGAAGCCGAAGACTTCGGTGATGTACTGCCGGTTGGTTGGAAGCTTCTACTGGGTTTGAAGAGAAAAGATGGTCGCGCGTGGATTTATTGCCGCAGATACATCAGGTGATCGTCTTTGCCTATTCTACTCTACTAGATCTTCGGGCATCTGGTTTAAGGAATTGTGTTTATTTAATTTGCATGCCATTAAATAACATATGAACCGGATATACCTAGTAGATATTTTGGTTTTCATTCTGAAATGTCAAGATTAAGTTACTGTCAGGAATTCTACGAATGAGAGATGCAGAGTGCATCCAAAGAATATGAACCTGTGGTCAAACTCTCAACGAAATCAGATTGTGATTCCATTTTAATATTTGTTCTCATTCTTTTTGTTCATGGTCTCAAATCTCAGTGTGCAATACAGTAGTCTGAAGTGTCTGTTTTTTGTAATGAAACTGTCTTGCCTGATATACAAGTCAAGAAGGGGGGAGTTACTGTTTATTTGCGGCGTACATTTTCTGGCCGTGCAAAATTAATTAATCAAGCAGACACAGGAATAGAGATGAAGTAAAATCTAGTCTCTGAATTATTAATTCAATAAAGTTGTTATCCTCTGGGATGTTTAGGCACCCAACTTCCTAGCTATGAAATTTGTTTCCTAAAACCCCTGAATGTTTTCTTTTTCTTTTAAATCTTGTGAGGCCTTGCAAGCTCATTTGATATTTTACAGTCCTAGCGGAGAACAATTTGTATCTTGCAAAGAAGTTTCTTCATATCTTCAGTCCCTTTTTGGTCACAATGATGCCCAGTTACCAATCAGCCGTAGAGGTGAAAATATGCTGATGGACCATGGGGTGACTACTAAAAGTGTAAGTATATATCTAGCAGCGGTTTTATCTGTTATTTTATATAGTATATGAGTGGGAAGTTTATGGGATAGGCTGCAGTTTGCAGGTGTTACCCATGAGGAGCAGGATAAAAGGATGATCATTGCAAATGACTCAGCTCTACTCAGTTCTTCTGAATGTAATGAACGATTGAAAGAAGTGGCCTTAGTGGGAATTGAGAATCTTGCAGACGTGCAAATACATGACCTGTTTGAATGTCACAAATGTAGCATGACATTTGATGAGAAGGATTCATACTTGCAGCACCTTTTGTCTTTTCACCAAAGGACAACCAGGCGATATCGGCTTGGTTCTTCTGTTGGAGATGGAGTTATAATCAAAGATGGAAAATTTGAGTGCCAGTTCTGCCATAAGGTGTTTCTTGAAAGACGTCGCTACAATGGACATGTGGGGATCCATGTCAGGAACTATGTGAGGAAAGTTGAAGAGTCACCAGGTCAGGTAAATGTTCAAAGGAGAGATAAGTCTCCAATCAAGGAGGATTTGCCTTCAAGGATCTCTAAGATGGATGCGCTAATTGAAATTGCTCAGAACTCTATTATGGAGACTTCTGCAATCGAACCCCTTGGTAATCATGCTTCCTCTCCTGATAAACTGAATGGAATTACTACTACAGAAATTGCTGTTGGTAACTTAGATCATGACAAAATTGTTGAGTCTCCTCTCAGCGAACACCAAATGGAAGATAGCATCAATGACAAAAATGTGGATCGCAACTTGAATCACCAAGGTTGTAAACTTGCAGTCATGAATGAAGAAGTAGAGAAAACTGATGGTGATGACGAAGTTATAGATTCTAAGATGGAGACCTGTGAGGATCCCATTGGTTTGTCAACTGTAAATGAGCAAAATGTTGATGCACTTGAGAATTCAAAGACAAAAGATGATGTAGTGTTGACTTTTGATGGTTTGGATCAGTCGTGTGTTGATTTAGAAGGAGTTTCACAAAGCCCTCTACTTCCTTTATCTGGCAATGGTATAACCCATGAAGTTGAAAACAATCGAAATTCTGGTGGCACTATTACTGTGGAGCAACTTAACCACGATGTAGATGGTAGAAGTAAGAATGAGTTCAAAGTTGACTTAGATGGCACAAAAGACGTATCTGTTATGCCTAAAACCCAAGAGACAACATTGGCAACTTCTGAAGAGAATACAGTGTCATCTGAGGTTCCAACCCCATCTACGTCCGTGATACAATCTTTGGATTGCTTATCCCATCTCACTGGACTCTCAGATAAGGTATAAGTCATATCCTCTGAGTACCTTCAGTCTCTGGGTTTCTTACATGTAGAAAAACCTTGAGAATATTGCTACAGTTATTTTACGAGGGTCTTGCCTAGAGGTGATTGTCATATGGACTTTTGCACGTGTCCATATGCCAATGATTGACATTTGGGCTGACATGCATATGGAGTCTGTGTCTCTAAAATGTGTTCAGAGATATCTTGTATTCGATTGTTGATGTAAATGTGCATTACCACCGAGCCTTTTTTGTGGTTCCAAGACGAGCACAATCTTTGGGACCAAGTAGTTTTGCTGTCTCAGCATTTATGTTTCCATGAATTTTTCTTTTTGTATCCATATATTATTCAACTTTAACCTGCTGAATAACTCTGGCAGTCATTGTCATCTAGTTAGTCAGCATATGGACATATTAGCTTTACTTTGATTGATATTGCTCGAGTAACAAGTACCTTGCTTCTATTTGAGACTGGTACTGTTTCTCATATACCTTACAAAGAGACTCAATTTTATTTTGGGCGGTTGCTGTCGGGCTGGGGCGGGGGATTAAACAGTTCTTTGAACAGATAGGTTAGGACCGCATGCTTATGTACTACAAACGAGTGAATTTCTCTTATCTCCTTTATGCCTTCATTTCTGGCCAAGGGAATTAGAACTAGGATGCTGGAATCTTGCATCTTAGCACCAACGTCTGATCCAACGCAACAATTAGTTACTTTCCGCACCCAACCATGATGATCCAATCGTGGCTGGTAGTGCTGATCCTGCCTTGTAAAATTATTTTTGTTATGGCTCATTGACAGGGGGAAAACCAATATTGCAGTGTTGACCACGAACATGATGACGTGAATGGGTCCCAAGAATTGAGGTTTGATGAAACAGAAACTTCAAAGTGTGATTTTGCAAATAGTCAGCCTTCTCTTTCTCTGCCTCAGGTGCCAACGGTTTTGGCAAACAGCACACCGATGGAAGAAGGGGCTTGTGCTTCCCCAGTACAGGTTGAATCTCAAGAAACAGGAAGACCTCAGATTACAACATCGTGCGTATGGTGTGGTATAGAGTTTGGTTATGATGCTGTTGATTCTGAAATACAGCCAGATTCTGTTGGATTCATGTGCCTGGCTTGTAAGGCCAAAATATCTGGTCAAATCGATGTGTTGGACCGTAGATCACCCTTGAACTCTGACCATATTTGATTCGGATATTTTTATTCTATGTACAGAGATATTTTATAGGCAAGTAATTACTGTGACTCTCTCTCTATATGCTCCTCCCTCTGATCCTATTTATAAGGATCTGCTTACTGCTTTATGTTAGCTATTATTTATATTACTTTTCTCTTCCCCAGATCCTAAACCTTCACCTTCTCAACCAAACAAAAATGTTGTTGGTCTGTGAGTTCATAATCCTAACCTATTATGAATAACGGATGCATGAGAAAGCTTCAGTTTGGTTTATGATCAAAGCTTCAAGATTCCAAAGAATTGCTTTTAGGGGTCTAATTTAGAATTTGTTGTAACATATAAATATGGTCATTCTATAACTTTCACAAGTAATTCTGATATGCTTCTCAATTTCATGCAATAATCTACGACTTTGGGCAAGATTTGTTATCTTGATGGTCTCAAGTTACAATTTAGTATTCTGTTTTCACCAGTGAATTCTCAAGACTTCCAGTAAAATTCCGGACATAATTCTGGCCTAAATCATAACTGCTCTATAATGAAACATGAATCCCTTGTTTTTTCAAGGCAACCGAACGTGAATTAGATCATTGAAGAATTTAAAATGGAACTTGTTGAATCAAATTCGTCAAAAATAAATTTGCTGGTTTTTTTGGGTTAATACAATTTTTAATTCCTTAAATTTGTTCTCATTTTAATTTCGGTTTCTCAAGTTTATTTTTGTTTAAAACATTAGTCTTTATATTTCAATAAACAGTTGGATTTTTTTTTTCTCCCGAAAGATCAAAATCTATAGTTTCAAAATGAAAACAAATTTGAAAAATTAAACATTATATTAACTTTTTTGTTATATATCAATGTCAAATAAAAGAATCACCTAACGCAATCGATATTTATATAGCCATAAATATTTATATTCAAATGTCTATTTTTCCTTAATATGGAGAGCGGACTCACTCTTAATCAGGATGGAGCATAGCCACGTGGCAACCACTTGTACATCAATTTAACTAATTGTTATTATACTAGATGCTTTGTCTTTTCATCAAATTGTATTTGAACCAAGTCTATGGTTGTTAGCCAATGATGCTTTTCTAATCCATGAAAAAAAAAAAAAATTCTGAAAGATCACATGACTTGGCTATTCTTTATGCAGAGCTCCACGTTAAACACGCTGGTCAAAAATTAAATGACAAAGTCCCTTTTGTTCTCTCGTTAATATTATTTTTTTTAATCCGAATAATATTATCTGTAATAACGCGTGAAATAGCTGCATTATACTCCTCCGGTCCTTATTATAAGACCCAATTTGACTTTTTATTTGGTCCTAATTATAAGACCCAATCCATTTTGTCTCTTATATTTATGCATTTTTTTCCAAGATAATCCTTTTAATAATGATAGTTTTAGCCAATATACTTAATTAGCAAGGATATTTTAGGAATGACAACACTTATTTATTATAAATAACCAACTTAACTTACTTCCTTAATCTCCTCAAATAAGTCAATTGGGTCTTATAATTAGGACCGGAAGAGTATCACTTTATACTCTTTGGCGCTTATAAAAGCCAACAAGTGGAAATGAGAATCTACAAACAAGCTAATGTAAGCAGAAGAGAAGGCTTGAGGGAGTGGTGAAGAAAAGTTGTGTTTCCTTCTCATCAAGAAATATTGAAGCTTTAACGAGAGAATCTAATTCCTGAAATTGCTCTGTGAAAGAATAAAGAAACAGTATCAGATCTTTGGTATATTTTTGCTGATGAATACTCTAGTTGTAGCCTGTAGCCTGTAGCTTCCTCTCTTGTGTTTGCCAGCAACGAACGGCTAATTTTGCGCTTCCAAATTTATTATTCTTAAACTAAAGTCAAATTAGAGTTCACACTTTAGCATCTTTTAGAATTTGATCCTGCACCTTCATGTGAAAAAAATCAATATAAAGTATGTTAGTGCTGTTATAAAATAATGTTACCAAAGTTAGATTGAATAGGTAACTCCACCTATGTTTCATTGTAGATTCTAAACCCGGATGATAAATGAGAAGGGTTATGTTAGGTTACCGACAACCAACACAAAACTTTGTCAAATTTCTTATAAATATAAATCAATGAAGAATTAGATTGAAGTAGTCAATTCCGTCAAGGGAAAAAAAAAACTAGTCAATCGGTAAAAAGACCAGTAAATTTGCTATAAAAAAATATGTGGAGCTTATTATGAAACATTTTTAATTTTCGGAAATTCTGTATTCCAAAAGATATCATGAAATCTACATTATTTGAGATTTTCTATAAAAGATAAGAAGTTCAAGCTAATCGTTATTAAGCATATCAGTGTATCAAAAATATTCTTAAACCAGACATACCGTTGACACTTTATAATTACGTCTAGAAGGGATAATAATCATCAAAAAGAATTGCATGCGCTAAGGTACGGAACATATCTATCTCGCGGCCATACGCGTGAATATATATATATATATATATATATTTCATTTATTCATTTTATCATGTCCAAGTTAGTCTCCTATATATATAAACATCTTCTTCCAGCCTCCATGTCAAGCCATAAAGAGAAGACTAAGCAACAAACAGTAAGGAAGCTATGTTTAAATACAAGAAGTGCAGAAAGCCTAATAATGGGGAGGCACAAATCATCTGCAGAGAGTGTAGGGGAGAGTTTCATGTGCCCTCAACCACAACAAAATACCGTTGTCCTCGGTGCAAAACAATCAATTTAAGTTTAGGAAATGGGCAATCAGACAAAGATAGTGGCAATAAAATGGGGTTGGTGAAATTTTCTGCTGCTAAGAATGTCATGAAATCGGATGATATCTCACAGAATGCTAGGAAAAGTTCATATGTTATGAATCAAAGGCCTTCTTCATTTTCTTTGATTCGCTCTTCCTTCTCATTCAGACGAAGCAATAAGCGCGCGGTTCTCTGTGGAGTTACTTACAGGAAAAGAAGGTACAGACTCAAAGGAACCATTAATGATGTTGCCAACTTAAGGGAGCTTCTGGTGAAGGTTTTTGACTTTCCTATTGAATGCATACATGAGCTCACAGGTTTCTTCTAGAACCCTTTACCTTAAGATTCCCCTTTTTCTTATGGTTGATCTTGGTTCTGCTCATCTTAGGTTGTCTTTGTAATTTGTCTTCATGCATTATTAGATTTTCTGAACCATCTTTGCCGCTAATAATTGTAAGTCATCTTTTTTTCATGGATTGCTTCTCATGTTTGATTGTCTCTGTCTCTGCTCATTATCTTTCGTACAAAGATATACCTAATCAAATGTTGTCTTTTGATGGGGAAAAGGAACAAATGAGCAACTTGATCTTCATTTTTTCCAATCTTATGTTATCCCAAAAAGTTAGTTCAGCTGATAAGAAAAGATAATATTGTTTCTGGGTTTGTCTCTCTGAGTAGCACTGACTGAGATCCCAAAACAATTTATAATTACATTGAAACATACAGATTAATCTAACTCAGATGAAACAACAATGCAGAAGAGCAAAAGTGTCCAGATTTAGTCCCAACAAAGAAAAACATACTGGAACAATTGAAGTGGCTTGTGGAAGGCTGCCAGCCAGGAGACTCATTGGTGTTTTACTTCTCAGGACATGGCATTCAACACACAGATTCCGATGAAGATGAGATAGATGGGATGGATGAAAGCATTTGTCCAGTTGATTTCCAGCAAGAAGGCTCGATTCTCGACGATGATATAAACTCCATCCTTGTTTGGCCCCTCAAACAGGGTGTCACACTTCATGCCATTGTTGATGCTTGTCACAGTGGAACAATCCTTGATCTATCACATGTCTATGACCCTGAAAAGTGAGTAACACTTTGGAGACTAATGAGACATAACTAGTGGTAACATGAGACTTTTTGGGAAAACCAATGTAATTTAGTTTCTTGTCTGTGGTTTTCTAGATGCATATGGAGAGGTAACAAGCCTTCTTCCACAGAACCTTCTAGAAAGCACCCAAATGGGGGACGGGCAATTTGTATTAGTGCTTGTGAAGATCATCAGATGGCTGTTGATACTTCAGTAAGATTGTTAAACATCACTTCATCTTGCTATTGTTATGCAGTATAATTGAAGTTACTTGTTCATCAGCAAGGTTCTGATATTGAGAACAAAACTATGTGCAGGCTTTCCGTGGGAAGGGAATGAATGGTGTTATGACCTATCTGTTCACAAAAGTCATCAGAAAATATCCTGATATAACATATAGGGGTGTGATGGAACAGATGGGGAAGGAAATTGAAGAGATTATGAGAAATAGTTGTCTTCCATCTTTTTTCCAACATATGTTTCGTCCCAAATTTGCGCAGGTTGGCATTTTCCTTTCTCTTTCCATGATTACTCCCTGTTTTGACATCAATATTAACATGGTCAAATGCTTTATTCGAGATTCTCTGGAATCACTTTGTTAGGATTCAAATGTGAATTAATGTGGGGGAAACCCAACATTGGATAGCATTAGACTGAAGAGTTTGATGTGAATTGATGTTCTTCCTAGTTAATGAAGTTTGTCTTTTGTGGAGCATTTCAGGATCTCGTCATATCATCATCTGAAGAGTTTGATGTTTCTCGGACTATATTCACATTATGAGTATGCAAAAGGGTAAAGGACAATCTGATCATCTTATTTGCCGCATTGCAAGGATAAAAAGAGATTTCTTGTATTGAACAATAGATATATTTTTATCATACAAATGTAAGAAAATACTCACACTGATCCTTACAAAGGACATTTTCCATGGTCCTTAATGTAAGACCATTGTCCAGAAGCATTAAGTGAACCTGGTCGGGGGTAATTTTAAAAAAATTAACTTACTTTTAATAAAGTATGTTGAACTATGTAAAGTTGTAAATAGATCCTCATAATAAGAATAGAAGGTAGTATATTGGGTGGAATTTTGGCTCCCTATAAAAAAAAAACAAAAAAATCCTAATTAAATGCGTGCATATACAAGTCACTCACGCATAATACAACAAGAAATGCGCTGTGTGCGTCAGTCAACATCCAAGTTTGGCAAAGCATGAAAAGGTATTAAAATAGATGCACCATCCAACACATGATGCTATATCTAAGGTGCATATAGCAGGTTGATCTTATTCATAGTGCATTCAACGTTATAATGTTATTTTGGCCAAAAGAAAAGGCATTATAATGTTTTATTTTTTTATACTTCTGGCATTCTAATCTTATTTATAATATATTTAGCATCCTAAACTATAAATAAGATAAGGGTGCTAAATGTAACTAAAAAAATAACATCAAGATGCTGGATGTATCAAAAAAATAACACCAGGATGCTAAGAAGTAAGAACACTACAAATAAAATCAAATTACTACATTTGACTAAAAAATAAAATCAGAATGTTTTTTGATATGCTATAAAATCAGAATGTTAAATGCTCAGATACATTACAAATAGAATCCGGCCCCTTCTTTCATTTCATTTCTTTGTATTTTCTTTCATATTTTATTCATTTTCTTTGATGTTGATGTGCGCGAGACATAGTTCATGATGTAGAACTTTTTTAGTTCATCCTATTGGCTCGGCTCATCCGAAATAAGTATCTTAACAACTTTAAAATCTCAATGAAGCCATACTCGAATTTTTTTTTAATCCCTAGATTTTTTATTTAACCCATCCATAATAATATGAATAAGACCTCAATTATTCTGTCTAATTTAACTTTAATTACTTTGTCTGATCTATAAAAGAACGTACAGCTATTCAAGGAATATCTGGCGTTATAGAAGTGGTGCAAATTAGTTTCTTACTTTTACCTTTGAAAAAATTGCGTTACGAATATTATCCATAGCTTTTATCCTAATAAAAAGCACGTAATCCAATAAAATAGATAGAGATTATTTATTGGAGAGAGGAAACGTGATTCACATATTCTTGTGTCTCTCACTTAAGACGGTTCATTGCATTGAGAGACTTCTGAACTTATATTTTAGTATTTTTTATTTCATAATTCTAGAAACTTTTGATCAATCAACAGTACTTGTGAGTGAGAGAATAACTTTTCGAAATTGATTAATTAAGAGATAGGGGTCAAAATTATAAATAATTCTAGAAAACAATGATTCATGGATTCCTTGGAATTACACGGATTAGTAAGTAGTTAATAATTTTGACGAAAAGAAAAAAAGCAAGTAGTTTATCGGGCAACATTGCAATAACAAGTTAGTGGGCTTAAAATGAATCTACTTGGGTTGTGCTTGGGTCACCAAGTAAAACGCAAAATCAGCCCAATCTCAGGTTTTAGGCCGATTTTTTTTTTTCGTGATAGTTTTTGACAAACTCAGCCTCCTTTCGAAGGGGGTTATTAATTATTATTACTCAGTTGGCTCATAATTGTATGAGTTAATTGGGATTTTTTTAAAAAATTTTAAATATAAAATCTCAATTTATTTGATTTTTTAAATTTTTAAATTTTTTCCTAACATGGTCTTCAACAATGGGATAATGATTAAAAGGGTATTTTAAAATAAAAATTAATACATATTTATTATAAATGATTAACTTAAATATTTTTTAATATCTATAAATTTGTTTGCATATTTAGGACCGAATCGAGTATTATTATTGATTTTTTTTGGGCCAAATATTGATATTTTATCATTCATTCATGATGATGGGTTGGATACAATGCAATTGCCAACTAATACGAATGAGAATGTTCTTCTTCTTCACAAAGCAAACAGTAGATATTATTAAAGGCATAAAATACCATCAAAATAGAATATCCTGCAAATTCGAACATGTACCAAAACTAATAGTCCAACCTCATACTTCTCTTTTCTTTCTCTTGTTAATGGACTAGCTTGTTGGGCATGTATGATGTATCTCGCTATGCGATGTGAAACTAGCTTTTCAATGGTGAACGTCACTTTTATGCAACATATTGGAGTGACATCTACCAAAAAAAAAAAGAGTTTTTGACCTTGTTTTTTTGGGAGTAATAACTGTATTTCACTCAAAGATATTGATATGCTAGAATTCATCAGCAAAATAGCTATCATCTACAAAAATTGAAAATTTTCAGATACTTATTATAACTTTTAAAAAATTAATTAAAAAAAAAACCTCTGCACATAGGTTAAAAATTCTGTACAATCTAACTTAAAACTAGTAGCAATATCATATGAATAATCATCTCATCAAACATTTGAGATGCATTATATTTGATCAAAATATGAACCTGGCTGCTGCTTATGAATTAAAAAAATCTATACCGTCTCTATCAGCAGCCTTACCAATTAACAACAACAGCTTTCATATCATTCATTGCACGAAACCCATTATAATCAATCCCATCCAACTCCGTCTTCTTCTTCTTCTTCTATTGGAGAAGCATTAATTGCCGGCGAGAAGCAGAGCACCACCGAGCGTAGCAGCCATGGAGGTTGGGCCAATCAGAAGAAGAAGAACGTGTGAAATGTTGAAGCCAGAGGAACAGAACCTGCTCTTGAGCTTGCTCGTCTTCAAGCTCTTCAATGGTTTCTTCTAACACTTTCTCCAACTCGGACCTCTCGCTTAGGCTCAGGACTGGTGCGTCCGTGCCATTGCTGGCTCTGCACAAAAATGGCAGCCATGTCTGCAACATCTTTAGCTTGGTCACTTTGTGTGGCTCCGTCTTGATGCCTTCCTTAGTTGCGTCTTGTCCCATGCTTTTGGCTTCCATGAATAATAATGCTACAGGGTTTAAAATGAAAATGGCTCGGTTCAGTGGGAATGGTGTTTTAAGATACCATTTTCTATATAGGCATGTCCGTACGTAATATAAAAACCCAAACAAATTTATATTAGCTCCGGTTTTTAATATAAAAGCTAAATAATTGATTTGTAAATATTAATTAAATTAATTATTTATAATAAATAAGTATTATTTTTTTTAAAATACTCTTATTAATCATATATATTGGAACCATCTTTTCATAAAATTTTTAACATATGCAATCTATAGAGACTACTTAAAAAAAAATAGATAAATATGAAAGATAAAATGAATTAGAATCTTATATTTAAAACCAAATTGAATCTCCAAATAACTCGTGTCTAGGAACAAAAGTAGTACTATACTATTCATGCAACAATAACAATGTACTCCCTGCAATCTAAAAACTGAAGAAAAAAACCACATAACTTGCTCTAAATTATTGATGCTGTTTCAAGAACATCAGTTTGAAAAGTCAAGTAAAGAATTGACAACTAATTTTATCATAGCCGTATATGTGAGTAACAAAAGCCAAATGGGAATGGGCAAATATTATAGACAAAAGAAGGTACATCGATTGTCAATGGCAACCCAACTTGGATGTCCCTTCTCAAGAGTTTATTGGGCATTATGAAGTTGTTAGGAATAGTATACCTAAGCGCTAACCTACTCTTCATCAAATAAAATTGAGAGTTTAGAGTTTGTCGTCAAATATTTTGTTCACATTCTTAATTCAGGACACGTAAATTATATCTTATGGGATACAGGCATATAGCTATGCATATAATACTCTTCCGGTCCTTATTATAAGATCCAATTTGACTTTTTATTTAGTCCTAATTATAAGACCCAATCCATTTTGTCTCTTATATTTATGCATTTTTTTTCAAGATAATCCTTCTAATAATGATAATTTTAGCCAATATACTTAATTAGCAAGGATATTTTAGGAATGACAACACTTATTTATTATAAATAACCAACTTAACTTACTTCCTTAATCTCCTCAAATAAGTCAATTGGGTCTTATAATTAGGACCGGAGGAGTAACATTTATGATCATACTTTGTTGATTCCTAATATTTTCTCACAGTTAAATTATAGTTTTAGTGTATCTCTTTTTCTTTATAAGATAAATTAGTTTATTTTACCACATTAGAAGGGTTTGAATCCTCAACTTCTGATCATATTCAACTTTTCTTCCTTAATGTCTTTTACCCCCAGTTTCCTTCTTAATGTCTGAACTAGCCTCAAGCGGCAAAGTGGTAAAATAATTTATTTTGTGCTTTCGATTTCAATTACAGTTAGAGGTGGGCAGAATTTGAGTATTACGGTTTTTTCTATTTTTTTTGTATTAATATTTTATATTTAAAAACCAAAAATATAATATAAAAAAAGAAAAAGAAAAATATCTGCATATTATTCACTCTAAACTATCGATACTGTTTCAAGAACAACCTCAGTTTGAAAAGGCAAGTGAAAATTTATAACTAATATGGTGTTGGGATAGAATCAAAACCATGATTTTAAAAATATTTTTACGGTATACAAAATAAATATGTAAAATAATTTATCTCGATTTGTAAGAAAATGTTTTTAAAAAACACTTTTCATATTTGCTAAACACCCCCTAAGTATATCGTAATCTTAAAGTCCCAATCCCCCTCCAAAAAAAAAATCCTAAAGTCACAAACACAGCCACACTTTATGAATGTCACTAAATTACAACTTAGGTTTGAATCTGTAGTCCACACAGGATAAAAATTTTGGCCATTTTCTACTCAACTAAGGTGGATGTCACTAAATCATCCATAAACAGAATTTGTAGGGCCTAACAAGAAGAAATATATGGCAACATGACAACTCAAAATTCAAATTTTTATAAAAGAATTGTCTATATTTAATGCCCAATCGGCCAATCATGTCTTTATTAAGATTGCCTCTAATAAAAAATATTTATGCATGAGCATTCAACCACCTAATATAATTCTGAATATATGAGGATATCTCATCCGATGAACGTAATATGCCCCATATAATAGAGTAAGATAAGTGCTGTGAATTGCATGAAATTTAAAAATTAAATCATATTATTTATAAGTTAAGAATAATATAAACTGTTAAAATCATATATAAATAAATACATTAATTGATGGATATTTATGAGCACCTATATTTTGTTTATGCGTAATATTTTGCCTTAATCCCATAGTTTTAGTGTAATTGATTTCCTTCATAAAGTAATTTAGATTATACTTTGAAAAAATCCTAAAAAAGTGATACCTGAATTTTAAAATTTCAAATCAGTATTCGTTACTATATTTATAAAGAAAATGACTACATTTAAAAAGCAAATGACAACTCATTTTTGTAATAATTTCTGATTTGACATTTTGAAATTCATTACTCACTTTTTTAGGATTTTTCCTTATACTTTTTAACTTTAAATTTAAAAAAAATTATAGATTTTAAAAAAATAAGTTTCGGACGCGCAAGAAAGCTAGCACTGTAGAATACCTGCGACTTTGACGAGGGAACCTTGCAACCGCGGCTCCGCCGCAAGAACCAGCCAAGACAAATTAGACGCCGCCGCCCACTGTCTTACAGCTTCATCTCCAGAGCCACAAGCGACCAACTTCTGAGCAAGCCATAACAACTCAGACGCCAGCTTCTCCGCCGAAATCAAATCCCACCGGTTCGCCTCCCAGTGTCCTCTCAGGCTGGAGTGAACAGCCCAAACCGTCCGAACGGCTCTCGTAACCCGGCTCCAAGGGTACTCCCCCGGTCCATTCCCGGTTCCCCATCCCCATTCTCCGCTCTCTACCACCAAAGCCTCCAGCCGACTTAAAGTCCTCTCGAACGCCGACGAAAGAACTGAACGATTCACCTCGTGCAGCAAGTCGTTCCCCTCCAGGTGATTCTCCTCAATAATCCTCTCCGCTAAAGATCGAACAACCTCATACTTTCTTGAACTCACTGGAATGTCGGTTACAATCGACAACAGCTGTGAGAGGGCTCGAGCAATACCAGAACCTCCTCCTACACCTCCGCCATAGACGGCAACGCGGTTGTCTTTTGTCGGCAGGGTGAGAGTATAGTTATCGGAAGCGAAGGATTTTACGTATGGGACGAGGAAACCGAAGAAGAAAGAAGGAATGAAGCGGAGGAGGAAGAAGAAGGAAGAGAATAAAAGGTAGCGAAGTGCGTGAAAGGGTCTGTACCTCTTGGCCAAATAAACGAGAAATTTATCGGCGTAGATCAGAAAGGCAATCGCGACGTTTCGGAGGAGCACCGGAGCGAAGGTCACCGGAGAGCCGTCCGTCAGCCACATCGTGAAGAAATCGTTGGTTTATTTGTTCAATTTTTCCTTGATTTTATTGGGATATTTAAAGATGAATGAATAAGAACAACTGGAAATCAAATGAACGTGTGGATGGTCATGTTGTTAGAGTGATTGGTACATATACGCCACTGGAGCCGTGAGGTCTAACGTTGGACCGTTCAAATGAATTTCAGGGGGCAATCTGGAGGCGAGGTCAATCAATTTATTGACGAATTTTGCTCCTTAATTATATGGTTGAAATTTTTTTTTTTCCTGAAATGGGTGTTAAAATCTTTGAATTTTGAACCAATTAGGTATGACCACTTGTTTTTACAGTATTATTTGTTGACCCTAAAAGGCACCCTTTTATATAAAAGATTAAAAATAACATCTTAACTTAAGTTTTAATTTTTAAATAATAGAGTTATTTTTTAAATAAAAGCAACATTCATAAAAATCATTTTTATTTTAAATTTCTCATATGTTGAAATAAAAAACATTATTTAGAATCTAAAATTAAATTAAATCTGCAATGTTTAAAATTAATTTGGTTTAAATCATCTTAATTAATAACAAACATTCCGTATTTATAAATTATAATTATCATTGTGATAAGATAAAATGACACCACATTAATAATCTAGTCATCATCCTTTTAACTTGCTGTTACACTTTTAAGCTCACTGGTCAAATCAAGCTCAATATAATATGCTTATCACACCAAACTCGAATTACATGTTTCTTTTCCATGTATAATAAAGGGGGGAATTTCACTGTAGGACCGCAGAAGACAAATAATCTCAAAGAGCCCTCAAAACTTTCTGAAACCTCATTGCAGGACCAAGGGACCAATCTGATATTAATTTTTAGAGTGAGATTACAATAATACCCCTCCCTTTTTATTTTATTAAAAAATAAATATTTACCGGAGTTACTGTTCAGGCCAGAACAGTAACTCCGACGGGACCTCCGGTGGCCGGAGTTTTTTTGTTTAAAACAAAGTGGCCAAGGGACCCCTTGGCACACCAAAAGACTTGTAACCACCAAGCCAAGCAACCTATTCAATCATAAAATGCAAATAAAACTATGTATAACAAAATAAACGCAACAGTCCAAATGTAAGTGAACAAGTGAAATTAGACGATTTACAAGTGGAATTCAGAAATTTGCAACAAAAATTAGGCAATTTACAAATAACATAATAGAAGTCATAGTCCAAAATGCAAGTATTTAAATGCAAATGAGCAAGTAAAATTTGAAGATTTACAATAAAAGTTTATGGATTTACAACCCAAATTTGGCAAACACAAGAGAATTCACAACCCAAAATGTAAGTGTTTGAGTGTAAGTGAATAAGTGAAATTAGACGATTTACAAGTGTAATTCAGCAATTTACAACAAAAATCAGACAATTTACAAATAACATAATAGAAGTCATAACCCAAAATGCAAGTGTTTAAGTGCAAATGAGCAAGTGAAATTTGAAGATTTACAATAAAATTTTATGGATTTACAACCCAAATTTGGCAAACATAAAAGAATTCACAACCCAAAATAAGTGTTTGAGTGTAAATGAACAAATGAAATTAGACGATTTACAAGTGTAATTCAACAATTTACAACAAAAATTAGGCAATTTACAAATAACATAATAGAAGTCATAACCCCAAATGCAAGTGTTTAAGTGCAAATGAGCAAGTGAAATTGTCGAATTTCACTTGCAAATCTATAAACTTTTGTTTTAAATCTTCAAATTTTATTTACTCATTTACACTTAAACACTTGTATTTGAGATTGTGAGTTCCATTATGTTATTTGTAAATTGCCTAATTTTTGTTGTAAATTGCTGAATTCCACTTGTAAATCGTCTAATTTCACTTGTTCACTTACACTCAAACACTTACATTTTGGGTTGTGAATTCTCTTGTGTTTGTCAAATTTGGGTTGTAAATCCATAAACTTTTATTGTAAATCTTCAAATTTTACTTGCTCATTTGCACTTAAATACTTGCATTTTGGGCTATGACTTCTATTATGTTATTTGTAAATTGCCTAATTTTTGTTGCAAATTTCTGAATTCCACTTGTAAATCGTCTAATTTCACTTGTTCACTTACATTTGGACTGTTGCGTTTATTTTGTTATATATAGTTTTATTTGCATTTTATGATTGAATGGGTTGCTTGGCTTGGTGGTTACAAGTCTTTTAGTGTGCCAAGGGGTCCTGGGTTCAAACCCTCCCTTGGCCACTTTGTTTTAAACAAAAAAACTCCGACCACCGGAGGTCCCGTCGGAGTTACTGTTCCGGCCACCGGTGACCGGACCCCGACGACGGCCACCTGAGCGCCGGTGGCCGGACCTCCGACCTCCGGTGGCCGGAACAGTAACTCCGGTAAATATTTATTTTTAATAAAATAAAAAGGGAGGGGTATTATTGTAATCTCACTCTAAAAATTAATATCAGATTGGTCCCTTGGTCCTGCAGTGAGGTTTCAGAAAGTTTTGAGGGCTCTTTGATATTAACTGTCTTCTGCGGTGCTACAGTGAAATTTTTCCTTTAATAAATGATAGCTTGTCATCAACCATTATATTATAAGGGTTAATATCATTATTTTTACTTTTGTCACTTCAGGTTGGTTAATCATGAAATTAGATGATTGTGCAGCTATGTAACTAACAGATTGTTGAAGACCAAACACTTTCATTTCCACAAATCAAACAAAATAACATCATTGTTATAGTTAATATATTGCAAGTGTTTTGACATTGATAATATATCCATACTTGTTGACGTAAAAGGAGAAATTTGATAAGAAATATAATAATGAATTTGTTCTTTGTAAATGGTAAGCCTCAATTTCAAATTAAATCGTAGTAAGAGTGTTCGATACCAGATAACAAGAAATGAAAAAAAAAATACAATCTACTAAAGAAGCATGTGCTCTGATACCAAATCATACATAATAGAATGAAGGAATACAACTTGTTAGAAGACATCCATGCATCTATATGTATGTTATATGTTTTGATTTGAGGCATTATTAATGATGTCCATTATATTTAGTATCAAATAGTGTTATGATTTATCTCTAAAAGAAAAACTGAAAAAAATAATAGAAAAATGATGACTTAGCTAAAAGATATTTGCTACCAAGCGAAACTTTGAGTCGTAGGAAGGATGAATATGTCAATCAAGTATTATATTTTTTTAAAAAAAAACTTATATAATGGTATCTTTGGAACATCAGGTGATATTCATTACCAATAAGTAACTTAACTAAATTTTTTAATTCCTACAAATTAGTTAACTAGGTCTTATATTAAGAATTAGATATAATATTATCATACTAGAAATACAATTTTGCCTATCAACTCTAAAAAATAGCAAAATTATATTTCTCAATTTGTAATAGGCACACGAATAAGTATTGACTATGAATATCATAAATATTAAAGTTTTATTTGACTCATAGTGTATATGTAAAAATTACATAATTTAAAGAGCAGAAATTTTAAGCATAACATTTGATTTCATCATATCTGACATTAACATAAAACAAACATCAATTTACCAAATCATGACTAATACAGCTCATTAATCAATTCCTATACAAAATATCCAATCCCTTATTAATTTGGTTTAATTAAACAGATACATGTTGTCCATTCTCATTTTTGCGGATTGTTAAAAAAACAGAACTCCCTCCAAGGAGAGGGGCTCGGAGAATTAATTATCAATTATCATTTTTAATTTTCTCCACCGACAACATTAGTTGGTGGATATTGATTGTGAAAATGTGTAAACCGAACGACGATACTATTAGTTATTTGACAAAGTAGGATGAAATAACATAATGTAATATACTGTGAATTTTAGAAATTTTTTTCAAGAAAAAATTTAGGCTCATTAGAATTTGATTGAGGGCCGACTTTAGTTCTAAATATGATTTTAGTTCTAATATAAATTATTAAAGAGATGCCTTTAGAAATCAACTTACGTTTCCTATAGAAATAATTAACTAAACTATATTTTTAATATATGTAAATTAATCATTAATCTTATACTCCCTCCGTTCCTTATTATAAGAGACGAATAACCGAATTACGTTGATCAAAAAAACAGTTAAAATTAATTAAGAACAATTAATATGTAAAAGTATAATTTTTTTCCAAAAATACCCTCATTAATAAGGAGAGAGAGCATGAGAGAGAACAATAGTAAATTCTTAAAAGAAAGAGAAGTGGGAAGGAGAGAGAGTGTGAATAGGAGACAATAAATATGGGTAAAATAGGAAATCAACACAAAAAAGTAGAGACAACTTTTAAGTGTCTCTTATATTTAGGAACATGCTATAAGCATCAAATGTCTCTTATAATAAGGAACGGAGGGAGTACTTGTGATAGGAAAGAGTATCTCTCTGTCAACGGCAAGCACGGATACGCGAAGGAAGAGAGGGGTGACGATGGCGGGCGAGAGAGCGGCATAGGAACAGCGAAAGCGTTTTCAATCACAGATTGTAATGTAAAGGTAGGAATAGTGATTGATCTCCTCATAGGTGGGATGAACTTATACCCAATATTTTAGTAATGTTTCCAAATAGAATAGGCTTTCCATTTATTTATTTTTTTTATAAAAAAGAGCAAAAATAAACAATGGTTCAATGGGAACGGCATTAGAATTCTCATTCTTCATGATTCCTATAATGAAACCTAACTTGCTTCAGGATTTATGTATAGCACTACCAGATGGTTATGATTTACATATATTGATTTGTTCTGAATCCTCTTTTATTTCTCATAAGGGATAGGAAAAAACTTCCAACAAGTAATGGAGCAAATAAGAAACAATTGCTATACTCCACTTTCTAGTAAGAGGTTATATGTTTACAGCATGCAAGGGCCATGTGAATTATATCATAAACATGGTGGTTTATAAATCAAATGAAAGGCTATTATGGTTATCTTCACACTGCTCCAAATCATAGTGCAAATTACAGAGGAAAAATAATGGCATGAATCTACATATAGAGGAGGAGAAAACTAGAAATAATAAAATGACACCACCTAACGTCAATTTTACAAAGGGAGAATAGGGAGAGGAAAACCTGTCTTGCAGAAAGCTCTAAGTTGGTAACAGGATTACCATGAGATCTCCAAACTAGATTATGGAATTGCATCCATGAAATGAGAAGTTTTCATTTTCTATACCCTGAAATTGAGAGATTATTATTTAAACCTCTCTCTATCTCTTTTTCATCCCTTGAAACGAACAACAATGCAGGAGATATCGTCCTTGCTCTCTAGCTTCAGCGCCTGGGCGACTAGTTGTTTCGCTGCCTTTTGTGGATCCTTGGTCTTTCTTGCAATATCAACGGCCTCTTGATTTGCCATAACCTAGATTGAATGAAAACTAAGTGGGAAAATACATTTATATAAGAAATAATGATAGAGAGAAAATTAACAAACAAAGACCTTCCATAGGCCATCACTTGCGAGGATCAAAAGCTCGGTATCTGAATAAATATCAACATGCTGTATGTCGGGGTCAGATCGCAAGTGTGATTTTAGGTTTTTGTCCCCAAATGCTCGAGAAACTGCAAGCTGGCCATTCACTCTTGCGACATCTCCTAAAGTAACATCAACATATCAAGAAATTATTAGAAAATTCAAAACTCTCAATCAAGTACTCATTTGAAAAGGAGCATAGAGATAATGGCCACTTCCTTGTAGAAATTCTACGTTATAGAGATAATGGCTTCCTTGTAGAAATTCTACGTTATAGAGATAATGGCTTCCTTGTAGAAATTCTACGTTATAGCGATAATGGCCACTTCCTTGTAGAAATTCTATGTTATAGAGCGTTGACTCTCAATGAGTAAGAATGGGATAAAATTATGGTAAAGATAGTTTGGCATCCTCAAACTATTAGCACACTGGAATTATGTTAGGATATCCTTCCGGCCACCTAACTTGTCAAAACATTTCAAGCTTGCATGATATGTTTAAGAATAACCACTTGAGTAGTTCAGAGACTTTCTCCATAAACAAATGATCTCAAAAATTAATGATTACATAAACAAAATAGTTTTATTACAAGTAACAACAGACTTTTAATACTCAAGTCATGTGGGGAGAAGGCAAAAAGGACTTGTGACAACTTGTGATCCCCAGGAGTTTGAGTAAGAATCTGGTGTTGATCACTAGCTACCAACATGCACCATGATTTCATAGAGAAAGACTGTCAGTTACACTATATATCTCATTTAGATTTTAGTGCTCATAAGGTGGTTAGATAATGAACTACTTGGCTCACTTAAGTATACAGTGTTTCAGAAATACCAATCCTTTTACACTTAGATAACAAGGTTCAAACATAAGATACGAAGTGTCAATTGCATTAAGCATTCTTTGATCATCTCATCTCAAGTGAGTTTTAAAGTTTAAACTGATTTTGCGCAAGGGAAAATTGAACTACATGCTAATTTTGATATTTCACATCTTATTAATGTGCACTCTGTTGAAAGCTTAGGAAGAATATTGAGAATATTGCATGTGTTATTGTGACGGAACCCACTGAAAAGCAATTCTATCCAAAAGTCAACAGACTTGGAAAGATGCAGATGTAGCGCTTATGAGAAAAGGCAAACAAAAATAAGAAAGGAAAGATATTCTTTAGCACTAGAGAGATTCAAGGATCTCCGAAGCCAAATGATTTTTCTGCCTACACCTTAACTCACCATCTCACAGCATGTCTCTCCCGATGGAATTCTCTCTTTCCTACCCATGTACCCTGCGGCAAGATAGCTAAGCAAGGGAAACCTCATCATTCCTCTGAAGGATGCCCATCTCTTCTATTTGTCTTTCTGTCACAAACCCTACTGGACCATGGCTCAACGAGCATGGGTTCATCAATATCCAGAAGACAAGTATCACCTTTCCTCAAGTTTAAAATTAGAAGTCAGAAACAGGGCCTCCTTTTACATCAAACATTGTGCTTGTTTCACCAAAGGACCGAAACAGCCATCTTCTAGCCTATAACAAAAGCCAGCAACGGCAGCATCAACCAAGCAAATCCCATACCCACTTGCAAGATCAGAAATCTCTCTGTATGTTGGACATCAATGCATCATCACTATCGTCCCAAGTGACTTGTTCATCATAGCCACCAAATTGCAAACTCAAAACGCAAGAGGAGCTTCCAAAAGTTTCTCCAGAATCATTAATCCCAGCTGTGAATAAGCCAATGATGTACCCAGCCAAAACAATAGGGACACCATCCAACTGTTCTGGACTACGATCACCTAGGATGGCTGGTCCATTAACATCATGCTCATTCAGTATTTTATAGGCCATAAGCACCGCTGAAGAAGGAATGCGGCATGCAGCTGAGAGCAACTGAAAGCAGGAGACGGTCATCCCCTGCCAAATTCTTCATCCTAGAGGAAGTTTAAAAGATCCTAATGTATGATAGAAAACTCTACAAATTTCTATTGATGGCAAAAACCCAGTAAAAATTAATTCCATCTTCCACCTTGGTATTTCCTCATTTAAAACTTCCAAATTTTCAAGGACGACGCATGGTTGTTTCAAGGTTCAAGTCCTAAACATAGTGACATATGTAAATCTAATCCGGGCACAAGATATAACTTCTCATGGTTATCTGACGGCTCATTGACTTCTCCTTCAGCCAAGTCATACAATTAACCGCCAAGTGGATTCCCATGACATGCCCGTATCACATTGACCAGCACTTGGAGCATATATGAGTGCCCAGGAACATGCACTGTATTTTGTGGATGAGAGCAACGGAGTACCTTTCAATGATTCCAAGTGCAACCAGTCTTGTTGTAATTCAGTTGTACCCTGAACTAAGGTCATCAATTGCTGAAGCACCATCTTTGTATCATCTTCCAATTCTGTTGGGTGGAAGCTCTGATTTTGACATCTCAAAATAATGAAGCAGATTGTACCACTGAGCATTTTTACAATGACCTCAAAAAAGCATAGCTGCACTATAAGAGATTTGCAGTTCTCTCTTGCCTGATTGTAGTTGGATGAGTTCATCTTAAATTTTTCCTGCAACCATTAACTCATGTAATCGAGTTTCTAATAGGATCATCCTCACATATGAAATAGGATTATCCCATCTAAAGCTCATTCAGGAACCCAAAGCATACAAACTCTTTCAAAATATCCAAAACAGTCACCGAATATATGGGCTTAACCCCATTGTAAATCCTTTTCTTTACCTAACTCAAGAATGGCCTTATTTTCATTCTTACCTTGTGAAAATCTTCACAAGTTTCATTAAAAATGTGCTCTTCATCATCACTACCAAGAGTTTTCTTCATATTCTTAGAAGTTGCTCCCATTGTTTTGACAAGCACATCGTTAAGTGCCATTCAAAATTTTGAGAAGCATATGAAAATGCATGGCCTGAATGTTACCCACATTTTTCTGCATTGCAGGTTGATGGCGTTTATCAACAGTACATATTATCATAGTAAGAATCACCATCTTCCTTCCTATATTTGGCATCAGGGGAGGTCTAGGACAAAACAAGGCAGCCCCTTCGTAAAAAGCAGCTCAAAACACCCACAACACAATCCATAGATTTTGAGTAGGTATTCAACTTGTAACTCTAAAAGATTGTGATTTACCTGATTGAAAATTGTGGGCAACATAGTCAAGCATAGGTTAAGAGTTGGTGTACCAATTTAATTTTCTTCGTCAAATTTCCCACACCGGCAAAAAGTAAGTTTGATGGGCACCTAAGGTGGATGGGAAATCCACTCGCAAAAGCCTACTATAGAGATAGAAGAACTAAGCCCCCCAGGTACCCATGAAGCATCTCATGCAACGCAATATGAGATTAGGCATCAAATACCACTTAAATTGTTACCAACAAGCCACCTTTGAAGAGCCAGCATCCCAATAGCTACACTCTGTGACACTCAACTTTGTCATTGCTCAGAACCATCTATAGTGAGCCATTTCCACAGTCGCTGGCTAGTAATTTTATTCCAGTTAATGGGCACCCAAGTGGGATGAGAAAAACACTCTCACAAAGGCCAGTTATTGGAATCAGAGAATCATCCCACTTAAGTATCTCATATTACTAAACACACAACTAGATATCTCATATCTCTTAGCCTCTATGAGCACAAAAAAGCATAAGTAATTCAAAAAGGAATTACACACAGGAACCAGATGAGAATCTATCGTTAAGTTGTAAGGTATAGTCCTATCTACTTAAAAACCAACATGGTTACAAAGTCAAGCACTATTCATCACTGATTCAACTTAAGTTCAGGTCTCTTAGGGCACATGTCCCCCAATATATGCATACCAAACATTTAAGCAGCAAACGTTTAAACCCTAAACACACATCTCTCATACTCTTCCCAAATACAAAAGTTAGCAAGTCTAAGTGAAAATATGAAACTATAAATCCTGCATCAAACATTTAAGTGGCATGTGATAGATCACAAAGTTTATTAAAGAACCTGGCAAGTTTGAGACAAAGCCACCTCTGTCCTCAATACTGTCCCGCTCAGTGTTAGGCTCATGATCAATACTCATTTGTATGGCCAACCCACCCCTTGACATAACTGCTCGTGAATCTCCAACATTGGCTATCCATAATTTCTGATTGTTTAAAAGAATTGCAGTCACTGCAGTTGATCCACCTCGCCCCAGATCAGCGCTGTGAGATAGAATTGCCTGATCTGTTGCCTGATAGGCTTTCGCAATTGACCTGTTCGGATCAGTCCAGAAGTCCTCCTGGAATAATCAATACAATTTTAAGAGTGCAGTTTCTCAAACCAAACAATTCAGAACTTGCACAGTTTTCAGAACAGGAAAGAGATCATAAAGATTGCTTTAAGATCTAGAGTTAAGAAGGATTATTATCTTATGATGGACGCCAAAAGGTATAAGCAAGGAAATAAAAATTTCTTAAAACAATTTGGAGCTTCAAATTTCCATGATTATATTATCCAGACACAAGAGGTTATGCCTCACAAAAATATCCGCTAAATAAAGCTTTATTAAGTGTGCACTTCTTTCATAAGCTATCCATTAGGCGTGATGTGCAACATACAACAGAAAGTGTCATAATCTTTTTCCTTTGGAATAATCCATAATATCTTCAATTTGATTCAATTACTCACATCTTTCAATATATTAGAAAAGAGATTTTCTTGTAGATAGGCTGGTACACTGTCTCCCAAGTGCCCATCGTATACAGCAAAAAGCCCAATCTCATGTCCTCTGAACTGGACAAATTTTGCTACATGATAGTCCTCCATTGGGTGGCTTGCTTTCCCTTTTACAAGGCAAAAGCCATACTTGACTGGGCCCTGATGGCTTCTGCCCTTGCCAGAGCTACATGAAGAACGCCCTCCAAGAACCTAAAGACATAGAAATTTCATAAATTGACAAAAGGTATGTCAGCAAAGTATGACATATTTGGACAAGATATATTAGAAAGGGGGGGGGGAACAAAAGAATCTTTGATAACCAAAAGGAACATATGACTTGACTTCAACTAAAAGGAGTTCCACACAAGAAGAACATTCCATTATGCCACAATCAGAAACAGAATGGAGAAACACATTCACTGCTCAAAAACGCCATGTTACATAAGAAAGATCATTGAATTGATGCCAGCAAAACTCTAACAAAGTGTCACAGACACCAGATAAACTGTATCTATCAGTACCAACAATAGTAAAATAAATGTCACCAAGTAGAAGAAACAAAAACCAGAAGGCACGGTGATACACAGTGGCTAAAAATTCGAGGTCAACAAGTACATGAACTAGACAGTTTCAGCATTACACATACAAGAATAGGCCATTTGAAGCAGAATAATTAGATCAAGGCTGACTGCTTATAATATTGGCAGTTCTGAGCCCAGAATAATCAATGAAGAATCAAGTACCATTTATATGAATAAAAAATAGTCATTTTACTAGTTTCTCACCGGCACACCCCCCCCCCCACCCCAAAAAAAGAAAAGAAAAGAAAAATCCTTTGCCTCTCTGTTAATGCTACTAATGACCTAGTATATTTCTAACAATTCCAGGTAGCCAAAGAAAAAGTAACCATAGGACGGGAAAGAGTTAATTCATCATTTGAGCCTGCAAATCATGTCGCCTTCTGTCGCAAATGCCATCATTTGGAGTTTAACTGATTGTCCAAATAACTCCAGATCAAACTAGATCATACGCCACACACTCCCTTCCAAAACTCATGGCAATTTTCCAAAACATTATTTGTATTTTCATGTGCATGGATATTGATTATTTCAAAAATTAAGTTTCCAGTCCGTGGATTTAAATGATATTTTTTATCACCAAAAATTAACAACAACAAAGATAATAAGAACCAGGATAAACTCACCTTAGAAACAGAGTTGAAGCAACAAAGATTATCCATACAAGTCAGTCCCACCTCACCTTCTCCGTCTCATTCAACATCTAACTCCTCTGCTCCAACAAAATTGAATAAAAACTTTTACGTCAGCGAAACCCACAAAATTCTTATGATTTTAAAAAACTACAAAATAAGCAGAAAAACTCTGATCATAAAAGACTAGTAATTCTATCAGCAAAGAAAGCCCATAAATTCTGACTTACGCGAACACAAGTCCCGGAATTTCCCAATAGAATGAGGGAAAATATCTGCGCAGGATTTGGATAGCCGATTGGACTGACAGGAAGAGATAATTTCCACAGACACCGAAAATTCAGACAAGAATTTCGGGAAGAAAGAGCGTGAAGAGTGACAAAATAGGAAAAACCACCGTCTAAGTATTGTTTGAAAGTTTGCAATGAAAGCGAGAATGTGAGAGGATCCCCTTATTGACTTCGCAGTTGCGGGTTTGCGCGTGTGTGTTGCATAAGTTTGTTTTAGTGGAGTCACTGTTGGTTCGAGAATTACTGCTAGGAAGAGGATTGGTTGTTCTTGTTCATACTTGGTCTTCAAGGTAGAGACGAGATAATTGAATGCATTGATTGGCTTTCGCCTCCGAAGACTGAAGGAAGGACCCTACTCAATAAAAATCTCCCCCATAATAGCCATTCTCGCATTGGAAACTCTGTCTCTTGCCATCATTTCTCTCTCTAGCCCCACGAACTTCACGCCATAGGATGGATCAATTTTCAGGGTAAACGCGCATCGATCAAAACATTGGTGATGATCAAAATGCAGTAAAAATTAAAATGAACTCCACTTGTCTCAAATATAATATTTTCTCTTTGAAAGAGATGCCCACCCAATAACATGCCTATCAAAAATATCTCATCACTCCTAACCAAAATGGGATTGGGTGTAGTAAGTATAGCAAATTAAAATTTAAATCCTAACTAAAAAAATGCCTGTATTTAGAATCTAATAGAATCTCAAAAAAAGTTTCTAATACTACCTCCGGTCTTTAATATAAGACCTTATTTGACTTTTATTTTGTTCTTAAATATAAGGTCTCAATCCACTTTGTCTCTCATATTTATGTATTTTTTTCCCAAGGTAGTCTTTCTAATAATGGTAGTACTAGCTAATATAGTTGATTAACAAGAATATTTTAGGAAAGACAACACTTATTTATTACAAATAACTAAATTAACTTATTTCTTTAATCTCCTTAAATTAGTTATTATAATTAGGATCATATGTAGTATAGTATAATACAGATGTTTAATAAAAAAAAAAAATGCTACCTCTAAACTTACAAATTAAATCTTATATTAGAAATCTTTTTAGGATTCTATTGGACTAGCTATGGAGAAATGTATTCAAAAAAAACTATTACTATCATTTTTTTAATATAAAATTTACTTTACAATACAATTTATATAAAATGAATCTTTTTTGAAAAAATGACCAAAAAAATTAAAAATTACTAAATGTTAAATAAAAAATTTTAACAATTGTTTTTTGTTAATCTAATATTGTTAACACTAAATAAAAGTGTTATTATTAAACCTGACTTGAGATTTAGTAATTTTTAGTTTTTTTTGTTATTTTTTCATCTTTCTTTTGTTAGAAAAATAAAAGTTATATTAAAGACCAGAGAACAAATATGAAATTGGCACAATGTAATTTAACTTTTTCCAAAAATTTAACAACCTCGTTAGTAATTTTTCCAGCACAACATGTGTAAAGGTTGTTGGGGTACGAGTAAAAAGTTTATTTGCAGTAAAACAAAGCATTTGAATATTCCGGAGAAGTCATCCTTATGAAAAGTCAAGTCAACTGCCATTAAAGTACACAACCGCGTGGGGGTCATTATCATCCTACCAAGCATCCCAATCTAAAAAAGTTGGCAAAAAAATCTAAAAGAAAAAACAATATTTGTCACAATCATCAACATTATTAAAAATTATTATTCTTGTTCGACTTTTATTTTAGTTTTAAATATAAAATTTTAATATATCTTATCTCTCATATTTATTAATAAATACAAAGATATCTATAATGGCTAAACATAAATATAATTGAAGTATGAGAGTCTAAGTGGTATTTTTTTTAAGATAGTCTTCCTAATAGTGATATTTATAGCCAATAAACTTATTAATAAGAATATTTTAAAAAAGATAATACTTATTTATTATAAATAAATAAATAACTTAACTTATTTTTTAATCTATTTAAATTAGTCAATTAGCTCTTATATTTATGAAGAGAGGTAATATTCAATAAAAAATTAATAGAAAGATAAAAAAAATTAAGAAACATAATAGTCAACATACAAATTAGGAAAAATAGCACTTAGATTCTCATACTTCAATCATACTTATGTTTGGCCGTTATAGTTTATTTTTGTGATTTCTTATCCTTTTATTTGCTCTGCTTGAAACACTAATTTTTTTTAAAAAAAATATTTTCGTGATTTCTTATCCCTTTATTTGTTCTGTTTGACACGTTGGGTTTTTCATTGAGAAAAATGAATAAAAGAATTACTCATATGGTTCTTAATATAAGACCTATTTAACTAATTTGATTAGATTAAGAAAATTAGATAAGTTAGTTAATTATAAGAAATATGACATGTTTTTCCTAAAACATCATAATCATCTGTTTTAATATCCTTTTTTCCTTACTTACTTGAATATAGTTGATGGAGTATTCATAGGGACAATTTAGGAAAATTGATGAATATGAGAAAATGGTCTTATATTTAGAATCAAAATTAACTTAACAATTAGATCCTACATTAAGGATTGGAAAGGTATGGGCTAAACTAAATAGTACTACCTCGGATCCTAAATATAAAAGCTAGTTGATTAATTTGAGTAAATTGAAAAGATAAGTTAAATTAGTTATTTGCTCTACATATGTGTTGTATTTCCTAAATTATTCTTGCTAATCAAGTGTATTAGTTAGAATTATTATTATTAGAAAGATTATCTTGAAAATAATTAAATAAATATAAGAGATAAAATAAAATAGGGTATTATATTTAAGATCAAAATAAAAATGAAACGAAATTCTATATCAAGAATCGAAGGTAGCATTAATTTTACTGAGGCTGACTTGATGCTGTTAAACCCATCATATAATTAGGGGGGGAAATGCTAACTGGCAAAATTATAAAACCTGTCTGATTAAAAATTTGGTCTAAATTAACACTTATCGAGAGAATTTATAATTTTTCTGAGCATTACGGTAGAGCAAATAGAAATGATGGGAAAATACAAAAATAAATTATAAGAATTAAAACAAAACACAATTAAAAAATAAAAGCCCATACTAATTGTTATAAACATCAATTATTTAGAAAAAACCTTATTTATCATATTCACTACAATACAAAAACTCATGAAATTTTAAACAATTTAAGCAAAATAAATCATCAACACTCATCCGTATCATTTCTTTTTAATGAATTCAGCTAATCTGAATCGAGTAGAAAATGATAATCCAAGTGACAACTTCTCCCAACGAAATATTTATGCATATTTAGAGTTGGAAGCAAGACATCTAGCTATCAATAATATACTTTTTTTTAAATTCATATTGTTGTTTTTTAAAATTAATATTATTGTTAGCTTTAAAATTTCACTTTATTTTGATTTTTTTTCTAAAATTTGAAACTAATAATTTCCGTTTCTAAAAGTTAGGAAGTAATTGAATTAGTTTTTTAGAAATAATTTTACAAAGTACAAAATGAATATGTGAGAAGAGTTATGTCTGGATTTGTATGTTAAAGTATTTTTTTAAGTGCTTTTTAAGTACATCAAACCCCTTAACCTCGTTTTAATTAGCTTAAAAAAATTTTATTCCTAAAACAGCATTTTTAGTTAATGAAATAAAGTTGTAACAACCAAAACCATTTGCTTTAAATTTTATAGACTCAAAATAATATTTACTCTATTTTTTTAAAAAAAGAATCTTCTAGAACGATGGTCAAAGAATTTAGATTTCAAAACAGAGATTTTACACATATAGCCCTGTTTAGAATCACAATTAAAATTACATATGCTTACTCACGCCCCTTTTTACACGCAAAGCTAATCATGTTGTCTTGCGCAATTGACGATTATGGCCGGCGGACGATTTTGCCCTTTTTGGGGCCACACGTGTACTTACCACCTTCCACTTGTACACGATGATACGTCGCCACGTGTCCTCCCAGTCGGCGAGGGCAGATGTTTCCTCTGAACCACCTCCTTCTTCTTCTTCCTCCCCGAATCGGTGTTTCTCTTCGAAGCTCAGACGAGAATGACGCTGAAGACGAAGAGCTTTGCCTTTTCTGAAGAAGGAGGAGCATTAATCGAGTGGTGGAATGAGATTCATTATTGTTCAGATCAGCGCCAGAGTCCAGTTTATTACGTCTTATGTGCTTCTTATGCCTTGGTCTCTGTCGCAGCTCTGGTAAGTAATTTCCTTTCGTTATGTTCTCGGGAAAATTGTGGTTTCTTCTGCCATCTTTCCTGGAAAGTTATTCTTTCGAGCCGAGCATTGAGAAACTCAGAGCTTAGGATGCACACTCATCGTTTCTCATCACCATTTGATGCTTTGTTAGTTTAATGCTATTTCATTGAGATGTCCTCTTTTATAAGGTTTTGACACTTTTGTTTTGTCCAGGTCAAAAGAAAAAAAAAGAAGAAACACTTCTGTTTTGTCAAGATCACAAGTTTCCATTATAGAAGTGAATTTGGAAAATAGTATAATTAATCCGATTTTTAATTAAAAATATTTTTGCACGTCATGTTATTTTAGTTGAAAAGTTTAGGGGAAATCATAAAAAAAGACCTTGAAATTGTAAAAACACAGATAGGAATCCTGGACAATTTCACTTTGGGTTTTGAGTTGTCAAAATCCAAAGTGAAGTTGTTAAAGGTCCCTATCTGCGTCTTTACAGTTCTAAGGTCTTTTTTTACAATTTTTCCAAAAATTTAACTTTAAAATAATAAAGTTAAGATTACTAAAAAGCCAAAACAATCCAAGCTAAGGTTTATTTCTTGTGCATTTACATAGAATTTAATAATTGAACAAATTGATGACCTGAAAAATTATTGGAAATCAAATTTTCTTTCACGGGTGAAATCATCAAACATAAGTATTAGTAGATTTTAAGAGTTAATTTGCTATGTAATTTTGAGAAAATGATGACCAAATGTTAGGAAAATTACTAGATATATTTTCTTAAAATTGTCATTGTAATTGTTTCTTCAGCTCATTTATCAGCTCTCTAAAACGATTTCTCAGTAACGTTGAACATAATTTTTATTAAATTTAAACCTTCAAATGCTAATTTTTTCCCTTTAAAAACATAGGTCAACACAGTTCTTTATCAGAAACAAACCTCCAACTTGAAAATGTAATTTCCTTTTATAGCCACTTTTTTTTTAATTGTTTTTGTGGGCATTTATCCAAAAATAGACACATTTTACATAAAGTTTGATGTGACCAATACAAAGAGATTTCTTTTATGTTAGGTACAATTGGTGCGGATTCAATTAAGGATACCTGAGCATGGATGGACTACACAGAAAGCTTTTCACCTAATGACTTTTCTTATCAGTGCAAGTAAGAGCTGTGAAATCTCTTTAATGAGAGTGAATTAATAATTTGGTCCTGAGATTGTTGTATGTGTTCAACTTTAGTCCACAAAAGCTAGTGAGTATATGAATTAGTCCCTAAAGATAAAATACCCATTACATATTAGTCCTTTTCCAAAAATTTTAGAAAGACTTATGTGTGATGAGTTTGCTGTTTTCGAAGGCTACTTGTCACAATCACTAATTTTTGAAAAATAAGTTATAGACTTAACAGTTTATATATCAAACTACTACTACCTCCAAACCTAAATATAGGAGTTATATAAATGATTTGCAGAGACTTAAAAAGTTAGTCAAGTGTTTGATGGTTTCTCTATAGTACCTCTTTTACTCATTTGTATTGAAAACTAACTATTGATGAAACAACTCTTAATATGGGCAATTCATAAGGAGAGTTGAGGAAAAAATTACAAATTTGCAAAACAAAATGAATTAAAATCTTGTATTTAGGACCATAACAAATATCTCTATCAGCTCTTACATTAAGAACTCGAGGGAGTAGTAGTTTATAACAGCTAGATAACTCATGTTTATTGAGCTATCTAATGTCATATTGATTTTGCAGCAAGAGCTGTCCTTTTCGGTTTGCAAAGAAGTATATTTTGCATTAGACCTAAGGTATGTATTCCTATTCTCAAATACTTGGCATTCTAATGGTGTTTGACATGAGGGGGAAAAAAAATATTTTTCCCAGACTCCTGAATTTTTTTAATATGTTTTGCCATAAAAAATATGGAAGTCTTAAAATTTACGAGTTGCATATATCTTAAATAATATAGATATTATTTGCTTCGCTTTTACATAAAAATATCGAATTTATACGAAGCTGCACTATTCATAAGCAATAAAATGAGGCCAAATTTGTTTCTGTCAATTTTTTCCACATATTTTATGGGTCCTTTGTACAACTTTATTTTATTCTTTTAGTATTCTTTTAGAATTTATACATTTATGTTTGGAATTTTAAACTTCTAAACAAATAAACAAAAACCAGAAAACTACTTGCTGGGATCAAAATAAATAAGAACACCTATTACATATATGATCAAAGAAAAGACGTACACAAGAACACCGATAACACAACCATAAATATCAAAACAGATCACGATCCATTCCAAGTGAAGATCATGAAGGCTGCTTGGACTTTTCTTGACACATCAATGCTGAGTCAAACACACAATCACATGTTAGTGCATCTAACACCGACGCAATGGCCAGTGCACATGCAGGATTTTCATCCTCCACTAAACATTGACTATTGAATGAGGGCTGGGAGAAAACAAATTCCCAGGCTGTGCATGAAAAGTGATGGGCCAAGCACCTTAGAAAACGGGCTAAAGCTTTGGCCTGAAAGCTGAAATGATTGAAACCTTAACGTTTGCTTCAAACCTGCCCTGGTACAATATAATAAGTCTGAATAGATTTACGAACTTCTTTAGGTAGACACCTTGTATGTCTATTTCTAGCTGTACATTAAGTACAACTGATAGGACAATTAGTATATGCCTGAACCTACTTGATCTTAATGCATTCCTTTTAACCCATCACACACTCATTTTTCTAACAATACACAGAAGAAAAAACTTACGTACAATACATAGAAGAAAAAACTTACGTACATTTTCATGTATCCCCTATTTATCAAACTCTTTGATGAAAACAATACGTGGAGAGTTTTTGCAATTTGACTTTTTTTCCCCCCTAAATTAAAGCGCCACTGCGTAAATTATGTTGAGATCATGTTTTGACTATTCTATACAATCAATCATGTCATAGGCGTTAGAGCAGGTGCTGATGGATCTTCCTGGTCTTCTGTTCTTCTCCACTTTTACATTACTTGTGCTGTTCTGGGCTGAGATATATAGCCAGGTACATCTACTACTATCTTCTAGGAGGATTACAATGAAAATCGTTTGTGATTAATTTCCTGTAAGTTTTATTTGGTTCGTGAGTTTCAAATTTGTTTCAGGCAAGAAGTTTACGAGCAGATAAACTTAGGCCTTCTTACTATATCATCAATGGAGTTATATACTTCATACAGGCAAGCAAGGACACAAATATGGTTTTCTTTGTTAGTCATGTTAAGGCTTAGAAGAAGGAGCATCTTTATCATTAAATTATTATTGTTTTTGTCCTTTTCAATCTTTTGTCTTGAAATATGATAGATTTGCATCTGGATTTATATGAGCGTGAGCAAATCTCCTGCTGGAGCAGAATCTGCTAAACTCTTCCTTGCAGGTTACTTATCACAGTCAAATATCATTTTAATTAACCTTAATGTTAATGAAGTTCTCATTCAAAAAAAATGTTAATGAAGTTCTATTTCCATGAATATTCTGACCTATAACTCTGTTGTATGGCAAATCTTGTTCTAGAATGATCTGAAACTATCGTGTAATGAATTTATATATTCAAGTCATTCTTACGTTTTCTAACATCAAAACCTTTCTAGTAGGATGCATGTTGTTGGAACATGATCTGAAACAATGATAGTATGAAAAAGGCCACACACAAAAAAAAAAAAAAAAAGCCAAAAGCGTTAGTTTATAGTTGTCCAACGTGCTGAATCTTGTTCCAATGTTTTTTTTTCCAGTTATTTCGTTCTTTGCTGCTCTGGGGTTCTTGATATATGGAGGGAGGTAAGCTGAGCCCCCACACTACCTACCTAGCAAAATTTAAGTCTAGATCTTCTTCACTACCATAGACTTAGAGGGTGAAGTGGGGAGAGACAAGAGATAGGGGTAAGTCCCACCCTCCAATCGAGATCCTCTAAAGTGAAATATAGTCGAAGTGAAGAGAGAGAAAGACACATGGAATCCACTTCTATCACTGTGCATTCCGTAGAAGTAAACTCATTTTTTAAGTCATTTTAGAGGATCTAATCTTCCTTCCAGTGAAACTTACCACCTATCTCTTTCTCACTCGTTGGTGTACTCCTCCATTAATGGAGGGGATCCAAGATAACCAAACTTCTCTTGCTCTATGTCATTGAACCCTATTGTTGATGTAGGTTGTTTATCCTGTTGCTGCGCTTCCCTTTTGAATCCAGAGGCCGTGTAAATAAGCTTTACGAGGTTCTTATCAATATGCAAGTTACATTATATTTTTCAATCCTCGAAAAACAAGTATATATTTCTCATGATATTAATCAATTTCAAGCTGTGCTGCAAATCAAAGAAGTGAAACATCTTTTTCCCTAGATTTTCAGTATTCTTGAGCCTAACTTTTCTTTTCCTTGACAGGTTGGCTCGGTGACATGTATATGCTGCACTAGTTTTCTGATAAGATGTGTTATGGTGAGTCTTGTTCAGTTCGGAATCAATTTATCTAATGTAAAGTTTGTGTTGTCTTACAATAACATATAGAGTTTGTGTTTTTTCTTACAATAACATGTAAAGTTTGTGTTTTTTCTTACGATACCATATTTATCACTCTTCGAAATTGTAGCTTGCATTCTCTGCATTCAATAAGGGCGCAGATCTTGATGTCTTGGAACATCCCATTCTTAACCTAGTTTATTACATGGTAAGTTTCAGCATTATTATCTTTGCTTTTTTTTATATGGCACTTTGAATGCACCATATATATATATATATATATATATATTCCTCTGATCCTTAATATAAGACTCAATTGTTAAGTTGCTTTTAGTTTTAAGTCTAAGACCAATTTCTCATATTTATCAATTTTTTCTAAATTACCCATATGGATACCCTCTCAACCATAATCAAGTAGAAGAAGGAGAGGGGGTATTAAGAAAAATGATAATGATGTTTTAAGAAAAATGTATCACTTTTCTTATAATTAACTAACTTACCTAACTTCCTTAATCTAATCAAATTAGTTAAATGGGTCTTATATTAAGGACCGGAGAAGTATATATATATATATTATATTTTGTGAATGTAGGGGATCTCATGCTTTTATAGCGTTTATTGCTTCATTCATCAAGTGACTGTACATGCAGGTTTCTCTTCTAAAACAGTTAGGCAACCTCATTGTTATGTTAAAATATGATTAGGTTTAGTCAATGGAATAGTTTAAGAACATAGTATGGTAAGGGGAAAAAAAATCTAAAAATCTACATTTTACCTCCATAAACTAAAGCATGATTATCCTATGAAAAAAAGCGTGATTATAAAATTAATGTATGAAATTAGTGTAGAATACCTACCTGAACTTTGAAATTAAATGGAAAAGCTCAGTTTCAATTAAAAAAAAAATCGAACAACTTGGCAAATTGCTTAAATTATTACTACCTCCGGTTCTTAATATAATATCTTGTTTGACTTTTATTTTGGTCTTAATTGTAAGACCCCAATCCACTTTATCTCTCATATTTATGTATTTTTTCCAAGATAGTCTCCCTAATAATGGTAGTTCTAGCTAATAAACTTAATTAGTAAGGATATTTTAGGAAAGACGACACCTATTTATCACAAATAACTAACTTAACTTATTTTCTTAATCTCCTCAAATTAGTCAACTAGCTCTTATAATTAGGACCGGAGGTCGTATTTTGTTAGTAGAGATGTGAGTGTTTTTTTTTCACATTGAGTGGCGGCTGTTGACTGAGGATAGGGTTAGTCAATTTCTATTTCTATATTTCTAATAGGTGATTATGATTAGTTTTTATTATTATTTGGGATGCAGCTGGTGGAGATTATTCCATCTGCTTTGGTGCTCTTCCTCCTGAGAAAGGTGCCGTCCAGACAGATAACGGATCATTACCACTACCAACCCATTATCACATGACTTCCCAACAACGCCTTCACCTCACAACTCTTCCTTTTTCTTTTTCTAATTAAACAATATCTATTCTCTTCCGCCGCCTGTTGTCTACTCACTAACGTCCTACCTCTTTTCTTTCAGTAGTCTCCCACATAAATTCTGGAGATCATATGTGCTTGCGGATGTTTTTTTTTTTTTGGGGGGGGGGGGTTCCAAACCAGAAACCAGCATATATAAACTCCCTCAGCATTGTGTCCTTGTGTGTTTCCAGCATTGGTATATTCTTAATAGTAGTAGTAGTACTAATAATGGAATTAATACCAATTTTAGTTCCTGAAATTTGGTTTCATTGAGTTTAGGGTTTTGATCAGAAACAAGGCTTTTTGAAGACTCATTGATAGGATTGAAGATTAAACTACCCAATCATTGGAGACTACTCGCATTGTGGACGGAAAATTTTAAAATACCTCTTATAATATTAAGGACTGCATATATGAAAACTACTAAAATCAACACAAAAGAGAACAGCACATCATGTATCTTTCTTTGCGTAACGCTCTGGACATGCATGAGGTTGAAGTTCTAGTTAGTATATACCAACTCCAGTTTTAATTATAAGATCTCATTTGTAAATTACAATGAGATCTTATAATTAAAATCAAAAGTAGTACATATTCTAAGTTCAATTAGAAATTTCTCTCCGTGCGATGTATGGACTAAAATATTTGATTAGATTTTAAATTCTAATAAATTATATTATCTAAAGTAGCTCAATATCATTTCTTATAAGAATATGATTTTTTTTTTTTATTCATTCAAATGGGATTTGAATTAGAGGTATGAAACTTGGGATAAACATGTATAAATTCAAAATTAATTATTTATTTCTCTATTTAAACTTTCAATTGACATACTATTTAATAATTAATAATAATGCTTTCTATTTAATTCAATATATTCAAATTCCAATTAAGATACTATTCAAATTTAAAATTAATAAATAAAATTAATTATTAATTTATTCATTTGAACCTCCAATTAAAATCTGATTTAATAACAATACTCCCTATTTAATTCAATATACTCGAATCCCAATTAAAATATTATTCAAATATAATTCATTAAATATATTCAAATTTCATAATGTCATACCCGACTCATTTTAAAATAAATTAAATATTACACGTTTTTAAAAATATAGTTGATTGAAGGAAGATTTTGATCATAGTCAATTCTGGGCGAAAGTGTCGGAAAGCAAAAACAGAATACCAGTTATTCACTTTCAATATTTTTTTCCATTGTGTGAATTCCCCAGAAATGAAGGAAATGGTTAAAATACAAGCCATGTCACATTCCCCAGTCATAACGTCAAATATTGAGAGACAACTCGAAAACAACCCAATAATACTCGAGGGAATTTATTGCACCTAAGCCTGAATCCTCCACCCAAAAAAAAAGAGAGAGTAGAAAAGAAAAGCTCATCAACGTACCGCTGTTAGCTCTAAAAATAAAATACACGCTTAAACAAAGTCCATTTCTTAACAAAATGCAATTATATACTGTATTATGTTGTTATCCCTTAACCAGTTTTTAAATAGAAATAGTCCTATCATATGAAACCAGGATCCATGAGATCATAGTACATCTCAATAGTGGACAATACCTGGACTTCTAAAAACTGAACCATATATGTGATAGTCTAATCATAGCCAGCCTTTGAACAACGTAATTTTGATCATATATATGTTTGTGTATATATAATATATATACAGCAACTGCTAGGACTTCCTCAATGCCAAATAAAGGCAATTCTGGCCACCTATATACAGTGGAGAGGATCAGAGTAGTGACCAGAAAGAATCAATCAAATGCTATAGGTATGAAATTTTCATCATCCAAGAGCATGTTAATATCAATAAGGTCCTCTACACCATCGACCGTCTCTTCTGAATTGATCACGTCCATATCGCATGCCTGTCAGAATTTAATAATAGCAGGAGATTTTTGTTAAAATAATAGTCGAAAGTCTCAAAGCAAAAGACCCTATAAAGCCTATTTAGTAACCCAGTTGCCCAATCTATTTGCATATCAGATAAAGTAGCTCCCTTGGAAAATTTTAAAAAAGTCATGAGCGGAAGCACCAAAGGAAGCCAAGATTACAATTCAATCCCATGAAACAAAGGAATGCCTGCATGGATGCCTCTCAGATATCAAATTAGCAAAAACAATTTTGCCAAAAATTATGATTTTAGGCTTCATATAAATGCTAAATGTTAAAAAGAATACCTTGGTTCGCCGGAAGTCCTCGACAACATTTAGCAAACGCCGGTACTGAGCCCGTGCCTCTGGATACTGAACCATAGACTTCACCCTCGTAAGTGCCTTTTGGAACCTTTCTTCACTTTGTTTCCTTCCTTCCTTGAGAACATCGTAATCATCCTCTTTCACAGTATCATTTTCTTGGTTGGGGATTTTATTGGCATCAGGTCGAAAGCCACGTAGACCACTGCCCTTGCGTCTCCACCGCAATATTACCTTCTCCAAAATTCCCACAGACCAGAGGACTGATTTATTCTGCTTCCTTACCTGGTGGCCTCTTACATGGGCCTTGACACCATGAAATTCAAGAATCAGACGAATGTACCGATTGTACAAGGGCCAACAACAGAAAAAATAACTCCCAGGAATCCAAACAACATTTCCTAAGTTGATTTTTGAAAATCAATAAATAAAGATAAGATAAATCCATAATAAGCTGACCCAAAAAATATCCATAATAAGCTGAACTATTCACAAACCATGAACAATGTGGATCAGGACTATATAAAACGCATGGAAAATATAACTAGCTAACTTATAAGCGCACTGGATAGCCTCTTTTCTTCTTTTTTTTTGGGCGGGGGGGTGCGGGGGAGGTGGGATTATGGGCATCAGAATAAACAAAGGGATAGGAGTATATCTCATCATCCTCCCTACTTTTTTCACTTCTCCATCCTTCTCTAAAACGAAATTTCATCTCATCAAAAATGAGTGCCACTGCAGCAGCAACCAAACCGTAAGTACTTTAGACAGCAGGTACAGAAAATACTTCAGCCCAATTAACATTCTACACTGTGGAGAGAATCCTCAATAATGATAACCACACATGACCCCAAATACAAAGTTGTGAGAAGGGGAAAGAAAGGTGCGGAAGTTACCCCTAAAATGCATAATTGTTTCGCACCCTTAGTTCTCAATTTTTACACAACCGAAATTATTTAACTCAACAATAGCATCAGCTTTGTGACCATAATTCCCAGACAGGAAAAAGAATCAATTTAAATGGTGAGTCAAACAACTGTGAAAAATTTAATGAGAGAAATTCAATCATATTTAGACTGACGTATAAAACTTGTTGGGGGGGGGGGGGGAAGAATAGAACAACTGACCTGAATTTTAACAATTCTTTGACGAATTACTAGAAATTCCTTTCTTTTCTTCCAACCACGAAACTTCTTTTGTATCTGCACAGCAGCAGTATGGGCTAAATCATCTCCAAATCCAGCCTTGCATGCCTTAGAAGCTATAAGGGAAAGAGCCTGCTGATCTGACAGTCCAAACTCATCATCTTCAAACTGGGTTAACTGCTTCCTCTGAAATGACTGCATTCTGAATACTTGGTATATACGATCAGCCGCTTGCGTAGCATTACGAACAGCAGTAAGGGAATCCTTAAGGGAGAGGGTATCTGGCATATCACCGTTAAACCCCGGTGTTGCTGTTCGTTTTGAAATTGTCTGTACTTCTTCTACTTCTGAAGCTCTTTGCCCAACATCTCCCTTCTGATCATTCATTGTGAGGGTTGAAAGGTGGCTGGTTAATGAAGACTCTGCAAGGAAACCAGAGATTCCTTTGTGCCCATTGCTAGAAGCAAGATCTGCTGCTGTTCTTCCAGAGGGAAACGTTGGGGATGGATCTGTCAATGCTCCAGCATCTGCACCCAGGGAGACAAGTACAGCAACTGTCCGTTCCCTGAACATTTGAGGGTAAAATATTAAATACGGAGCCAATTTTCTTCATGTTGAGCACAACATCTTCGAGAAAGATTCTAGTATAAAGAAGAAAAATTATTTTCAATTAATGCTAAATGAAGAATGTCCTATATGTCCAACATCGTCAGCTTTAAACTGAAGAAAGCAATCACTTTTTCGGATGACTTTCAGCAAGCGAGTTTATTTTCAAAGGAGAACAATGTAAAGCCTGCACTAGAAAATTTTCAATTTGATGAAAATAGAGTAAAATCTTAGATGGGCAAAAATGTGTCTCACTTGCAAGCAAAAACCAGAGTTCTTAGCTCGATTCCTGTTAGGAAACGAACTATTTGCAACAAAATCCATACTACCAACCTGCCATACGATGCAGCCCAGTGCAGAGCTGTCCATCCATTCACGTCCCGGAAATTGATATTCAATCCTGCCGTAACGATTGGCATTATTGCCCAGTCATGCCGAAGAGCAGCTGCTAAATGAAGCACACCTTGCCCCTCTTCATCCAAAACATTTGGCCCTTTACCATCTTCAATTACTTTGCGAAGCAGCCAAGAGTACAGCTTCTCTTTAAGTTGCCCGTAAAATATTAACTCCTTCACCTTTTGCTGGGACGCATTCTTCTCTGACATCAGCTCTTCCCTGTCTGAGGAAGCCTCTTCCTCCTTTAACGCAATGAGCTTAAATATAGAGTTTCTTTTCACCATATCATTGTCAAAGTTGTAATTTGAAGGGAGCGCTGATTTTGAAGAAAGCAGCTTCTCTAGTCTCAGATGAAACCGTATCTCAGTTGAACTGTCGTAGAAATCTGAAACATCAACATTTTCAGCCAAGCTCTCTGTGTAATCAAATTCCCGCACTTCACTGCAAGCCAACCTATTGGAGCATGTTACATAGAAGGGAACCCGTCCAACCTTGAGAGATGGAGCTTGACAGCACAAAATTCCACTGGCAAGAACCTCGGCAGGAACCTCAACTTCCCCAAACATGCACGACCAGTTACAGTTCGCTACCTCTGTTTGACTCTTCAAAAATGTTCCAATGATCAAAACCTGCGTGATCATAGATAGTG